AATTTAAAGTAGGAAAAATTGAAAATAATAATTGTAATTATTGTTGGTATGTTGTTAATAATCGGAACTATCGATTATTATTGGGTGATCTCAACTGACATAGCAGGTCATTTTCAAATGAGAACTAAACGTAAGATATAAATCATCCTAACTACATTCATTTATTATTATTAAATCCCAATTATCAACTCTTAATTTTCGGAAGATGTAGAAATATTTTTATAAATTTCTAAACTAAATATTTATATACATGTCAAATAATTACGATATTCTTGAAATGTACTTTGGTTATATAAAATATTTCTTAGTTAGTTTTACATTTATTTTCAATTAGTTTTCATTTTTCTTTTTTCCAATTTCTTTTTTTAAAAAAATCATTAATATTACTCATGGAAAAGTGGTGGACAAATATGTGACTTGACAATTTTTAGTAACTATAATTATATTCAAAAATATTATGATGTAGTGACTATGATGTAAACTTTGAAACACAATTATAGTCGCTAATAGTTCTAAGTCACATTTTTGTTCATGACTTTTCTATTAGTTTTATTGTTCTGAGTTGTGTAACCAATTTGTGATTTTGTATTATTTTTATTTCTCAAATCTACATTTTCTGTTTTTAAAAAGTGTACTGAGTGATTAAACATTTTAGGATAAAAGAGCTTTATTCAAGATTTTTTTTACTAATTGTTTTATGCTATCGTATGTAATTCTAAAATTCTGAACTTTCCAGCCTTAGATTTTTTTTATTTTAATATTTTTAATTTATTTCTATTTTCTTTATTTTATATTATAAATTATATGATATAGTTTATCATTTAATTTTTAAGATAAGGGTATAGTTAATCATATGATATAGTTTAATAATCATAGTTCAAATTATTATAAATATATATCCTTTTTTTAACATAGATGTGGTACATTGTGTTTTGCCCTTTGACTCTTTTAAAGGAATTTACTTCCTCTTTAAATTTCCGTTAATAAAAAAAGATTTTTTTTTAACATGGACAACCGGTGACCGGTTACGGGGGACTACTATTGGAACATGACCCCGGCCTAGCCTATAGTTGGGATCACCGGGAATAATTAAGAGTTGAAATTATTAACAACGGAACGGTAAGATCGAGTTGAGATTATTATTTTCAATTTTCCTTTAAAGTAATACTTTGTAAAGTAAAAACGTGTTTAGATTTTCAATTTTTCATTGTCTGGTTTAATTATTCCATTTTACATTTTTGTAAGGGTAAAAGGGCAATACATTTTTATCAACTTTCCATTTTCGTTTTGTTATCTTTAATAAAATAAGAAACTTAATTGTTTATATCAACCTTAATTAGAACACACCGAGTATAAAAGAATTCATGCTTTTCTTCATACAAGCATTAAACTAAAATGAACAAAAAATATGTGTAAAACATGCTACTTGGGGTTTTTGCAAAAATGATACTAAAATAAATGTCAAAGACAAAAATAGCACAACTTTCAAATAATTCCAAAAATGAGACTAAACTATCATGACCAATCCTGCCAGTGACTAGTGACAAATCTGACCAGTGACCGAACCTGACCAATGACCAAACCCAATCAGTGACCAAACCCGACGAATGACCAAACTCGACCAGTGACCAACCCGTCCAGTGATCAGTGGCCAACCCGACCAGTGACCAAACCCGACCAGTGACCAGTGACCAAACCCGACCAGTGACCAAATCTCACCAATAACCGAACTCGACCAGTGACAAGTGACCAATCCGATCATGACCAATTTGACCGTGACCAATCTGACCACAACCAACCCGACCATGACCAACTCAACCAATGACCAATCCAATTAGTGACCATGACCGATTTAACCTTTGACCAATGCGGCCACCGCTGCCCCCGACCACCGCTGCCCCAGACCACCATTGCTGCCGCTGCCCTGACCACCACTCCTCTATCCCATTTCCCTCCCCTGCACCATGCCCCCTCCACAACCCCCCTCCCTGCCCCTGCACCAGCCCCTTCCCCCGCACCAGCCCCCACCCCGACAGTGAATAGCCACCACACATCCCATTGATTACCGCCTCCCTGCACCTGCGTCCTCCTCAGCCCCGTTCCGGCAGCCAATCACCTCTTCATCCCACCTTCCCCAACCACCGCACCACCACCTTGCAACAATAGCCGCCCAAATCTAGCTGCTCGCCGCTTCAATTCGATCTGAAATCATAGCCGACAGCCCTCGAAAAAAACAGAAGAGGAAGAGATAGGCTTCGAACCTAGGGCGGAAAGGTTAGACAAGAACGGCGGTGCCATGGCTCAACAGAGCCGCCGCTTGTCATCTCCGTCGCTGCTCGTCATCTCGGTCGCCGCTCTCCGCCGCTCTAAGCCGTCGCTCTCCGACTGTGCTCTCTGCCTCTTCGTAGCTTGTCTTCCTCGCTCCCAATCGAAGCGCTGCAGATCTGTGAAATTGAGAAGGGATGGACTGGTTTGGAGACGCTGCAGATTTGTGAAAATGAGAACGGAGTTGGTCGGTCCTTTGGTCTCTTTTTTGTCATCCGTAAAAATGGTCTTATTTTCATAAAAGCAAAACTCCCTAGTATTATTTTTGGCATTATTTCTACTTCTAACTTTGAAATATAATTAAGTGAGAAAAACAATATATCACGTCACGTTTACTTTATAGAGATTTAAAATAAATATAAAATGACATTATTGATTCAAATAAGACTAAGAGTATGTGTATGTTTCAATATTAAATATTAAAAAAGAAAGTATTTATATTTAACACCTATAATGAAATTTAAAATTATTTTGACTGAAAAAATTATCAAATAATATCATTGGATATGTATAACAAAGATGGCATACTTGAATGTTTTAGTTATTTTATTATAGTGAAAAATATTTGTTTACCATAACTTTACAGCATAGAAAGGTTTAGGCAGCTAATTTTTAGATAATCGTATGCTTACCATGTCTTATAAGCATGAAAGTCAGACACCGTTTTAGATAGATGTTAGATAACAATATCAAATAAATATGAATAACAAATTATTTATAATTTACAATTTAGATAAAATATTTTTTATAATAATTATTTTATAAACTTCAAATTTAAACACATACCCGATATCGTTGTCAGAATCTTTAAGATCAAGCTCAATCATCTCATAGAAGAAATTAAAGATAGAAAACTATTCAAAGTACCTAAAGCACGTAAGTTCTCTTCAATGGTGTCTTGGTTTAAATAAATATAAATATAAGTACATACTAATATCCTTCATTGATTATGCAATCATTTACACTGTTGAATTTCAGATGAAGCAATTCTCGAGTATCTTATGCTTTGCGACGAGCATCAACAAGAGCAAAAGTCAGTCTCTATCCCAAATCAGACTATATCTCGAGAAAAATATCTTCATTCACGACCAATTACATATCAAGGGTCAAGAGCAAAGATGAATTGAAGATTTTAATTCGCTCTAAAGATCAAGGGTTTTCCACCAAGATCATAATTGTTGTCTATAAAGAGATTTCCCATAATTTAGAAACACAACCTTTCAATTTTTGATGTGTTTTAGTCATTCTAATGTGTTACGGATCCTAATTAACTTCTTTATTCTTATATAATATTATATCAAATTATAAATGTTTTAGTGCTTTTGGCAATGAGAATCGGAAAATTCATAAGAAAGATATATTTCACACATATACAAAATTATAAACTAAATGTTTCACCCGGGGCAACACCCGGGTACAAAACTAGTACGGAGTACTTGGGTTAAGGATAATGAATTACAAAAGAAATGACTACGAATATTATAGTGTAAAACAATTGCGAAATTAACAACTTAATAACCCACGTATACAAGTATGTTAAATGAAAACTTATTTACTTAATTACCTGATCAAATAAATAAGGAAAACAACAACCTAGTATGCTAAAAACGTTTTTTTTATGATTTTTTTGAATGGAAAACCGACATATTATATTAAATCAAAATGCCCAATATATAACCGAGAAAACAATACAATCGAGCAACAAACAAAAGCCTTAAACTCCTTCTAACCAACATTAACCATAAGCCCGCCGGCCCCCTCGCGCCTTGATCAGACATAGAGTAGTCCACCCCAAAAAGAGCGAGACTAATCGCTAAACATGTGAGAGCTTCGAGGCTATTAACGGTTGAGTCAGCCTGACTGCCTCCAAACAAAAACCTAGCAACTAGAATAAAACAAACAACACACCTAGCGCCATTATCGTTTAACAAAATAATAACAAAATAAGAAATAGAAATTAGAAAATAGCACAGGTAAATAATCTTCGAGTGCTGGACCAGATGAATCCGTTCTTCAAGCATCTTCTTCCAACCCCTTAATTCACAAATCTTCAGTGGCGGCGGTTCAGGAGGGAGACGAATCAACACCGCTCCTTGCTCTTTCTTCCACACTTGTACCGTGTATTCTCCATTCCCCCTCATCTGTCTATCCATCGCTAGGTGATATCTACCCATGGCTAGATGAGTTGTCCCTTTCACCGGGGCCCAAATTGCCCATGATCCTCCTGGATCAAACACCTCCGCTACCACTGCCATCTTAGACACCAATAGAACCAAAATTGCCAAGACAAACAACGGAAAATCAAACCTCAACATTGTTGCTCCGCTGGACCGCGCAAATAGCATCCCTGGGATGCATCTTCTGTCTTCCTCAAGGCCAAATCGACGCAGCTCTAATGCAGCCCTGTTCCCAGATCTTCCTCTGCCTACCGCTGGATTGGAACCGGCTAAGAACTGAATAGATCCCTCACCAAAGACGTTTTTTTATGAATACTAGTATTCCACCCGTGCGTTGCACGGGGTGTAAAATACTTATATTATAAACATCAAGAGAATATAGTTTATCAAGAGAATGAGTAAGCATCAGTAAATATGTAATAAAAAATATGCAAAGTTTAATAAGCACACAAGCTACAAATTATTGAAAACTTCTTTGTACACAACATTTTTTGCTGTTTTTTTTCTGATTTCCCTCGTCATCACATATCACGAACTTCAAGCCAGACGGACTTGTCACCCTCGAAACTGCAACATATAACTGTCCATGTGTAAAAACAGGACGTCGTAGAAAAACACCCACATTTTCTAAAGATTGTCCTTGACTCTTGTTCATCGTCATCGCATAGCTAACCATCAAGGGGAATTGCCTACGCATAAATGTGAAAGGGAGCCTCACATCTGATGGGGTTAAACTAATCCTGGGAATAAGAAACTTCTCACCTGCATTAGTTCCAGACATCATCTGTGCCTCAATAATATGTTCACCAAGTTTTGTCACTAAAAGTCGAGTACCATTACACAAACCGGCCGAGTGATCTATATTCCTCATGAGCATCACCGGTACACCAACTTTTAGCTTCAACTCGTGACTTGGAACACCAGAACATTTTATTCCGTTAAGGAACTCTGGAGAATGGATTTCTTGAAGGAGCTCACTGTCTGAGGTAGAGGAACACGCTGAATCAGAACTGAAATAGGTCTTTTCCTCTGAGTTGTTCTGTAGCAACATGAAATCATTGATCCTGTCTACCTCATCAATTGTCGGTGCAAGGATCGCTCTCCCTTCAAGATATGAGATGTTGTTCATGTTCTTCAAAAAGTCTGGATAAGTAGTGTTGACAATAGATTCAATGGGATCAGACATTACTGGAACATGAAAATTTTCTGGTATATCAATTTCTGCTTCGCCATCATCGCCCTCTCCCAGAACACCATCACCGATTTGCAGTATCCAATCGGCAAAAAGCTTCAAAATACTCGGATTGGCCAATTCATTTGTGAAGTTCTTGAGTCTCATGTTTTTTGTTAACTTCAACACCGTACAATACTGCCACAAATGTGATGCATTCAAAGATGCTTGAACAATATCCTGCCTTGTGCCCTTAGGAATGACAGGCAACACTTGTCTAAAGTCTCCACAAAAAACAATTGTTTTTCCACCAAATGGTAATTTTGGATTTCCATCATGACAGCAAGAAAGTATATCTCTCATACTTCTATCTAGAGCTTCAAAGCAATGCCTGTTGATATTTATATAAAAAATATAACGATAATACATTAGATTTAGTTATTTCAAAAATATTGCTTTTTAAAAAATTGATTTAAATAAATTGCAACAATATAGTGTCGTGGGTTCGTGGTAACTAAAGTCTAAAAATTGAATATGTTAACATGACTAAATAAAAAATATGTTATAGTTTATGACGTTTTTGGTGCATTTTTTTAAAAAATTTATGAATGAAAATTTAATGTTAGATAACTAATATCAAGAATTGGAAGAATAAGATAATCTGGACCAAATAATTCTACTAATAATTGTACTTATAATAGTAGTTTAAGAAGAAGTTCATGATGTTGATGATGATAAAAAACAATATTAATAACCAAACTAATAATATTACATATAATAAAAATATGACTACTACTTTGAACTTTAATAAAATTGCTTTGCAATTTAATGGAATAGATAGTAATTAAGTTTGTTGTGGGCAAATCATACCTATGTATCATAGGAGCTTCATCCCAGATAATCAACTTGGCCATTTGAATTAATTTAGCCAATGGGCTACCACGCTTTATATTGCAGGTTGAGTCTTCAGTAGGAGTGAGTGGAATAGCTAGCAAACCTTGAGTGTGCAGTACGTCCTCCGGGAAGAAGAAGTGATGCAATCCCACTCGATGCAACATTCAACACTATTTGACCTCGTGACCTTATTGCTGCTGATAAAGTTTTCCACACATATGTTTTTCCAGTGCCACCGTGACCATACAAAAAGAAGACACCTCCACTCATCCCGTCAATAGACTCCATAATTTTATCATAGACACTTCGTTGTTCTTCATTCATGTTTTTCAATAATTTTGCATGAGTCTCGGCCATAGCAGATTTGTCATACTTCAACTCTTCATGAATTATGGTGTCTTCAATGGAAGGAATATCAGATTCAGGTGGCATTGGAATTCCCACAAAATCTCGTAGTGATCTGCACCTTTTCCTCAACAGCTTCTCAATCTCGACCAAGCAATACTTTTTCACTTCATCTGTGCTCAACTGATACTCTATATAGATATATTTTATTATGTACATTTGTAATATTATATAAACTCGTGCACAAAGACTTAGTTATAACTAAATCAATTAGTCATATAATATCCCATTGAAATAAATATTTTAATTCATTTAAGTATTTATTTAAACAATCCATAGTCATCTAATAAATAACATACGTGTTCCATACTAATTCATTCCTTTTAATGCATCAAAACAAAATATAGAACACGATAGAATAATTTTCATATTTAATGTATGAAAATAGTGTTAATTGCAGACTATAAAAAAATGTTAATAATTTACATCCTAATAGACTAAAATCATATTATAAGAATAAAATATAAATTAAAATTGGTACTCTATATACAAATATTTTATTATAAATATTTATAATATGATAAAAATTCATTCACAAAAACTTAGTCAGAAATGAATCAGAAAATTTAGTTACATACCAGGGTCACTGAGATTCCTTCTAATGTTATAGAGTATATCCTCTGAAAAGTATTGCCAGCACTTCTCCCATACCAATTGTGGCTTTGACAACACATCTGACAGCAGAAGAGTAACAAACAAATTACGCAGTGCATATGCTGATGCCCAATGACTTGCCTCAGTGATCCCATCAATATATTCCTTATCATCTTTTAGCAATCCACGGGCATAGCAAGCATCCCTAAAGCTGGGAAATAATGTCCCATTATAAGTGCGCAACTCTTCAAAGGATGTAGCACCCTTAACAACATTCAGTAACGTTCTCAAATAGAACTTTTCTCCTGCTCCGGGACGTACAAAAAACACGCGACCAATTGAAAAGCCCCTTTTCCTTGGCACCCACTCCTTGGTTTTTTGTTTCCAGGTAAACTTAGTTGGAAACTCAACGTATGTCAACTCTCGTGCCTCTGGATATTTTTCATTTGCCTTCATCCAAGCCAAGAATTTTGTGTCCTGATTTGTGCATTTTCCAAGAACAGATTCCACCTGTTCATCCGGGTGGTAGTATACTGGTTGCTCGTCTGGCAAATGAAAACTAAGACGTTCCACCGACACATCACGATAATGGATAGGATACCCAAATATTCTCCATGCAACCTCACATGCCGAGATGTAGCGGCAATCATAGTACATTTTAATCTCGTCAACTTGTTTGTTTTTGGAGCCATCTACTGCTTCGGAAAATTCAACTGTGATACGGTCGTCACCCTTATTTATGTACTTGAAAAGATATTTGACCGACCTTGTTTGGTTACACCACTCAACATTTATGTGCGCACCATATTTCAGCAGCAATGTACGATTATGTGCAACCACATATCTATTGTCCAGAGCAACCCCATTCTTCGTGACACTTCTCCCATCAAGTCGCCGTCTATAAACTGGATAGCCATCCCCATCAATGGTGGTTTGCTGAACAAAACGTTTCGGGAAGTGTTTTGTGCAAATATTTTTCTCCATGCATGGTGCTAACTTGTTTGCTGGACCGCAAGGACCGTGCATCATAAGTTCTTTGACTGCATTGTAATAATTCGGGTCAGACTCCTCATCAGGTATCTCCGCTGATATAATCTCATCAATCTCTGAGGGTGATATTCTCCTGCCTTTTTGATTTACCCACAAGACAATATGGGCATGAGGCAAACCACGCTTCTGAAATTCGATAGTGTAGACTACTGCATCGAGAAAATATTTTGTTAGATGTCAATTATAAATGAAACATATCATATATTAACATGTATATTTTTTTATCATGTAGTTTGATTTTATAAACTGCTACAACACTTACGTTGGAAAATAAATAAATATTGGGATACATAAAAATTAAGTATTAAAAAATATACTCTTACTGTGCAATTTAGATCAAATTGAAAAGTCTAATATTTAATTTAATTGAAAAAAGAACTAATATCGAAATTGACAGAAGTAATACATGTTTACATTTAAAATCTAAGTTAGTTATAGTAAATTGAAAATAGTAATACGTAAAAGGTTATAATTATTACCCGCTTTGACATCGCCAAATATCTTATTTTGCTTCAAATCTTTTATTAGTAGGTCCAACTTCATTTTAAATATCCTACAAAGGATGTCTGGCCTGTCTTCTGGATTCAAACCTCTGTCACTAACGAAGCGCATAATCTCTGGCCATTTAGGATTACATGTGAATGTTATGAATAACTGTGGATACCCTGCCCATCTACATATTGCCATCGCATCTTGATAATTCTGCATCATATAACGTGCGCTCCCTGTGAAGGAATTAGGTAGCACAATCAATTGACCTACCCTTGATGCATTAGTCTCGCCCCGGCCAACTGCATCAGCCAAGCCACTGTGTAAGTCACTTCTTAATTCCTTCTGATGCTGGCGAATAAACTGCAATCGAGCCGATTCCATCATTGTATACCCGTCCACCAGAAATTGTTGAAATAAGCGTTTTGATTGCAATATGAATGACGTTTCATTATTCCGGTCTTGGAGCCTATATGAAAAAAAACTCTTTCTGTGTGACATGCTTCCTTCCTCCCTCCGTCGCACGAGTCAATCTAACATCCTCTCTGTATCCATCTTGACCATACGGGAATAATAAGGGGTATTGCAATCCCAAAAATGAAGGGTTTAACTCTGTCATGAATTGAAAAGCTCCTGACTTTGTCTGAACGACAACGTCTCGCTCTGCTTTGTTCACATGGAAGTCTCCTTCAATAAGTGCTGCCACTTCAGAAACGGCGGGAGTATTATAAGTCCGGCCGTCTGTCTTTCTCTTGCCTATGAGCCGCATTTTTAGTGTTGTAGAGTTAGATTCATTGAACCTATCCCTTGCCATCCGAAAAGACTTAGCGTGGACGTTATGTGTATCAAGCATATCTCTCAAATCATGCACCAGTGTATCATCCAATGCTTTGTCACCCTCTTTCCTGTGAAGCAATATTAGAGTTCTTAAATATTTGAATGCTATGATTATAAATTTAATGAAGTGATGAAAAAAGATCTTTTCATGTAAAAAAGAGAAAAAATGAGACGGGGTATACTATTTTTAGTCAATGTTTAATTGAACATATATAAATAAATACACATATATAGGGTCAAGTACGTAAGCCATCTCTCCCAACCAAGTAGATAAGAGATTTCAGTAATTAATATTTCTGGAATTGATTTTTTCTAATTCCGGAATCGATTGTTCTGTAAAATATAAGTTTATGTTTTCCCACACTTATAAGGATATATGAAAAGATGCAAAATCCTAAATCCACATTATAATACAGATTTCAATTAATTATATGAATAATTTTTCATAAAAGAGCTATTAATTTTATGCATATAATTTTATACAATAATTTTATGCATAATTTTATGCATAATTTTATACAATAATTTTTCATAAAAGAGCAATTAATTTTATGCATGATTCTATTTAACTAAAAAACAGTCAATTTTGCAACTCGATTTAGGACTGGTTTAAAATGAGTCCATTTTTTCATAAACATATTTAAGTCTAGTTTGGTCTGATCTGATCTTATATATTTATGGTCAATGTGTTTTGTACAACTGTAGTTAAATCATTCGTATTGATAATTAATTGAATTTGAATAATTAAAATTTAAATTTTCAGAACGAACTTTAAAATATGTATAAAATAATAAAAACCAAATTAAATTTTAATTAAGAATTTTTATTCTAATTAAGTGGATGAAATGTGCTATTTGATCCAAAAACTAAATTTTGCACTTGAAGTTTGGATAGACAAAAAAATTCATAAACATGTTTACTAATTCAAGAGAATGTACACATTTACTAACCTCACGGCTGATATTCGGTGTGCAACTTCTTCAGATGGATCTGATAAGTACATCTGTAAGAACTTTGG